ACCTCCCACTAAAACTTCAGATTGCCAAGGGTATTATAAAGATTTTTTCAGGTTCTTTTGTGTATAACTTAAGACTCACAGAGGGAGAAGTGATTAGCATTTACCTAACAATGCTAAAGAAACAGCAAGCCAAGCCTTTGCAGAGTGGAGAGAACAGAGCTGATGGTGCCTTTCAACATTATTGCAACCTGTTTTGCAAAGCAATGAATTAGGCATTCCCAAAGCAGTGGTTTGGAGCAAAGCACTTCCATTTTTCTTTCCTATGTTTATGGTTAACATCTAGTGCAGAGAAGTTTATTAAAAATACTATAAAACTTCCCTTTCTTGAGTCTTTAGGTTTGGTCTTTAAGTTTCTTTTTTACAGAGAAAACAACTGCACTGATCTCTACAAGAGTTCCAAAGTTAACATTGCTCAGAAGTATTTATTAACTCTTTCCAATTTATGGATTTATGGATTTATGGATGAGTCTCAGGGAAGGGAAGTGACTTGGCTGTGTACATTACTGATTAGTGAGCAAAACCCAGGCCAGGCCTGGGCAGCAGCCTGACCCAGAAAGCAGATAAACAATGTTTTCACTGTGTGCCACCCAAACTAGCAAGAGTTTTACTGGAAGCTTCTAAACTTTCACTGTCACAGAAATTAACTTCTTTGCTATTTATCAAATAGCAGCTTATTTGAATTCACATACTCATTAGCTTGAGAATTGTTAGCTTCACTTCTGGCTTCATACTATTCCTCCAGAAAATGCCTCAAGGATTCAACCATGCATGCTGCTTTCACACTCAACACCACCGCAAAAAACCCAAAATCATCAGGTTGAGATGTCTCCCTATCTAAAGGTATAAGGTAGTTTAGCAAGAGATGGGAAAGGGAAAAAATGATATCAACGCTAGCTTTTACAGATTTGCATTTAAAGCCTTACTCAAGTTAAAAACTAAGCAATACTGAATTATTTGAGATAAAACTAGATGTAAAGGAAAAATGTAGAATTTTTGACAGAAGTGAGGCTTAAATCAACATTTCCTGGGCTGGGGATACAGCTCAGTGGCAGAACACTTGGCCAAGCATGTGTAAAGCCTTGAGTTTGATCCCAGCAGAGCAATAAATAATTAAATTAAATTAAATTAAATAACCCTGTTCTCAAATTGCAATCCCAAAGCACCCCACTTTGAAGAAATTGATTCCAAAATGCTACTTCTGTCAAAGGCAGAACAACCAGCTGGGCCTGACAGCAGGAAGGTCTGCACTGCCCCCTCATGGCCAGGAGGCTCACCAGTAACTTTTCGATACTTAACAGGTAAACAGCTGAACACAAAGCCAGACTTAATTAGTGTATTTTAATAATGAATGCTACTACCCACAAATATTCTTCCAAAACACATTAATACTTGTGTCCTGCCCATTTTATCTTCTTCAGAATATTATCCAGAAAAGCACAAAGCCACACTCCAGGACGTAAATCTCTTTAGAGGGGTAGGGGGAAGTCCACTTAGAGAAGAAAACTTTAAGAAAGTAACACTACTGACGAATGGATCAAGAAAATGTGGTATTTAGACACAATGGAATTTTACTCAGCCATGAAGAAGAGTGAAATCTTATCATTCACTGGTAAAAGGATGGAACTGGAGAACATCATTCTTAGCAAGGTCAGCCAGGCTCAGAAAACCAAAAATCATTATGTTCTCCCTCATATGCGGACTTTAGATCTAGGGCAAATGCAGAAATGTGGTTGGACTTGGATCACATGACACGGGGACAGCACATATGGGAGGTATGGGGACAGGTAGGAAACCCAAAACATGAAAGCGTTCGATGTCCCCACTCCAGAGGAACTAATACAGAAACTTTAAAGTGACAGAGGTCAATATGAGAAGGGGATCAGGAACCAGTGTAAAGATTAGTTAGAATTGAATCAACATGGGTCATAACACATGGGTACATGGAAGCAATGCTAGGAATCTCTCAGTATAGCTATCTTTAACTCAACTAGCAAAAACGCTTTGTCTTCCTTATTAGGCTTATGTCTTTTCTTCAACAAAATTAGTGATAAGGGCAGAACAGGACCCTCCTAGAACTGGGGTGGAGGGGGAAATGGGGAGGGGGCCAGGGTGGAGAAATTACCCCAACAATGTATGCACATGTGAATAATGGAATATAAAAAAAAGAAAGTTACATGGATGGAGATTAAATAACATGCTTCAGACTATATCAATATGAGCCACAAAAGAAAAAAAAAAAAACTTGTTTTCACTTAAAATGATTAGAGCAAGGAAAACTTTAAAGTTTTTCGCTAAAATCAATGGCAAGGAATATCTATCTAATCCTTTCACAAGTCCTTTAATACTTTCTTCAAATAAAGAACAAAAATGAACAAAGTAAATGAGAAGTGAGGACTACTGATCAATCAATTCTTCAATAAACCACCTTAAATTGAGTGGCCAAAAAAACATAATTTAGAAATATCAAAGATGAAAGTTTCAAGGAATACAAAGCATGTTATAACTCAAACTCTCTAAAAAGGAGAAGTGATTATCACACCTGTTCTATAAAAGAGCCAGGCAGAGTTCTAGAAGAGAGAAAATTAAATCCTAGAAGCATATCCTGAAAGTGGGGTATGTGGGGGGGGTGGAATGAATAAAATTTCTTTTAATCATCAGATTAAATAGCTTGCATTTTATGGAGAGTCACATAATCTAAAAGTGCTATTTATATGATAAGAAGAAACACTGATTTCATTTTAAATACTAAAAAAGTACCACTAGACATAAGTAAGGTGAATGAGAACTCTAGTTACGAACACTTAGGGTAAAAGGTACAGACGATGGATGAGAATATAGGCTAACGTGTATTAGCACATGTCTGTAGCATAATTTATTCATTAATTTAGGATATCAGTCTATATGTTAATAAGTGTACTTCATTTAGGAAAAAAAATGCATAGTGAATCATTAAGTTCTATTTAGTTTCCTCATTTAATGACTATCAGCTATTCCTGGTATTCTACTTCAAAAGACTACATAATCATAAAAGAAACTTTTGTGAGATATTGAGAGCTTGGATATATCCTTGAAGATCCAGAACTTGGAGACCTCAAGAACAGTATCTTTTAAAAACTATCACATTTAAAGTATCTGACGATCTTTTCATTATAATTCTAGCAGGGGCCTTTTATACTGTTGACTCTTTGTAAAGCTTGCAATATTCAAAAATGAAAGTGCTCAGTCTTCTCTTACATACAGATCCAATATATGGAAAATATCACAATGAAAGCCCTCATCTGTAAAATTAATATGCATTAATAAAAATATTGGTGCCTGTACTGTGTAACAAACAGAGAAGATAGTAGAAAATTTGCTCATCTGGCATCTGTGCTAGCTTCCAACATGACACTACACAACCCTAATTCTGGGCAAGCCTACCGGTATCAAAATTACTGAATTATCATCAGGATATGACAGCATTCATGGTAATGACTTCTTATTTCCCATGTACCCTGACTGCATGCTATACGTATAATGTAAATTTAAGATATACCAAACAAAATTCAAAGATGCTAATTAGTGCTCTTTGTAGAAGCCAATTTTATAGCTATGTTGAGAATTGCATACATCCTACATACACTGATTTAACACTGTAATAAACCTTTTTGGTCTATCTCAGCAGAGGACTGTAGTCATCACACCTTGGAGGTCTCGTAACAGTTGCAGTACGGAGCAATACATTCTCATCTGTGTCACATTAAAGGACAGTGAAGACTACTGTTTCTTCCTAAACCTACAGCTTAAAAAAATACTGAGAAGGAAAAAGCTATATCTGCATGAAGACTTACTGGAGCCAAATAATCTGCTAATGATTGATGGGGTTACACTCCACTGTCATAATCTAAGGGGATGGATGGAAAGCCAATATAGTTTTTAAAGTCACACTAAGGTGTTTGCCATCCCTCTCCTGGCATGTTTTGAGGGGAATCTGTTATTACCAAAGTCTTTTGATAATTTAATATCACAGAAGGAAGGGCAGTGGGAGGGAACAGGAGAGGAGGGCAATGATAGAAGGTGGGAAGGTGCAAGCCTGGTGTCACTCTTAGTGGGTCTGGACAGAGTCCATGAGAAGGCTGACATGACACTGAGATCAGCCTCTTGAAGCTTTTCCTACACGTTTTCAATTCTATGAATCTATGTGATAACCATCCACATCTCCAACCCTAGAGTTCTGTGATCCTATGATTCCATTTTTCCATTTTTAAACCTGTGGAGTGGGAGTGTTTCTGAATTCCCTGCTCACACAGATGGTGGTGGGAAGAATCTCAAGAATATGTTGCATGTAGTAAATGCCCACTTCACTACGTAATCACTCCCTTCTCATTCCACATGAACCGAGATTACATTCTTTCAAAGACAGTTGCAAAACACAAGTGCTTTAATGACAACATGGCATCAGCACATATGTGTGTAAGGAACATGAAAGAAGATACTGTTCCCAATTACACATACCTGGGGCTAACCATGGCAAGAATGTAATATGACAAGACCAGGTCACCCCTGAACATCAGCTGCACAGACTGGAGGGGGCAGGAGAGACTGGGGGAGGGAAGGCAAAAAGAACTCACTGAAAGACCAAAATCACACACAGTATCTCTATATTCTCAATGTTCTAAAAATATACTGCACTGAAAAGCCATTTGTTAAGGCAACCTTTCTGAAACTAAAAACAAGATCAATGTGCCAACCTCCAGTTTCCCACATTCATCTCAGTTTGAGCGCTGCTTCCACCCCTCTTTTCCACAAGCCGGCTCTAGGCAAAAGTGACCCACACTACAGCATCTTAGTCATCTGGAGTTCAGGGACCATCCCTCTCCCCATCTCACCTGTTTATCTTAGAGCCATTTTATGTTCCCTGTTACTTTCTAAGCCTGTCATGGCAGGAGACACTGGCAGAGACTGTAGCAAATTCTGTTATCCCACCATACAATTGTCAATAATGTTAAACACGACATTACCTTGGTCTCCTTAGCAGAAAACTCTGAGGAGTTGGAAATTTTCATAGACTTTGACCTGTGGGACTGCCGCCGGATAGAATCCTCCCGGGAATATTTCACAGAACCTGAAGTCCTCACCCGTACCTTGCTGGTACTCTGAACACTATTCACGCCAATCATTTTGAAGGTCCACTAGGGAAGGGGTATGGAGAAATCAAAAGGCACTTTCCACCCGTGACAAGGCTGTAACGCTTGGAGGAGCTCAGCTGGTTGTGCCTGAGCAGCTCCCAAGCGCTGTGAGCCGCTTTAGCCTGCCTCCCCCAGCATCTTCAACTACCCTGTTTGCAGCGAGTCTGATTGTTCCAGGCACAGCTCACGTCACTGGCTGCAAAGAGGGAAAAAAAAAAATGCAATCCCACCCCTGCTACTCGTCTCTCTTTTACACACACACACACACACACACACACACACACACTCTCTCTCTCTCTCTCTCTCTCTCTCTCTCACACACTGGAACAAATGGCAATTGGCCAGGCAAGCAATTCATTAACATTTCAAATAGCAACACAATTTCTCTTGTGATACTGTGCAATAAGCTCATTAATGTCAACAACAAAACAGAGATACCACAAATAAAAGTCTTAAATAACCTGCAAGGCACCATAAGTACCCCATTTCCAAAAGAGGGAAAAATATAGACCGGGTGTCAAAAGGCTCAGGTTAGTGACAGGATGGAAGCCACAAAGGCATCTCAGTGATCGATCGTTTTCCTTTCTTTCCTCTTTCAGCCACACACTGTTAAATTCAATTCAAAATGCACTGCTAATCCAAAGAATTAAATGTTTCCTAGACTACTACAGTGAGATATTTAAACAGGAATTGTCAGACTGTATGGAAAATGTAGAAGACATTAGCTACTTCTCTAGCATACTGAAAAGTTAAAAAATAATTGGGGGGTTAGCACATGGTAACTTTAAACACAGCTCAGAATAAGATCAATAAAGCTGATCCTGATCAGTAAGGAACAAACAGCTTTTCCAAAAGCCAAAAATGCTCTGCCAATGTACACAGGAACATGCTACCTTCTGAGTAAGAATAGTAAGTTAAACATTATTAGAAAATAAGATAATTTTAGTTCTGGACACATGAAGTTAATTTTGAGCATCATAACCAAAATTGCAATGTCTGACTTGTCTGGCATCCGAGGGACAGGTCTGCCGAATAAACATGTCTTCCAAAGGATGAAGGTTTTGGAGTTTATAACAAAACTTAAATAGTTTGTAAAAAACCATTCTAGGAGAAAGTGCTGTTTCAACCATCACACCTCTCAATCTGACCTGTTCCTTGATGACCTGACCCAGGACTGCAAATTTCATACAGTGTACAGCCAAGTGCCGATGTGTTGGGGGCATTGTTTAAGGTGTTGAGGCTGTTTTCCTACACTGTCAACAGGCTCAGGCACTGCTTCAGCTAGGATTTGCTTCACCTTCTAACAGGGGCTTTCTCTCACCCTCTTTAGACTTCTTCACTTTCTACCTCCTGTCTTGGAAACACTTGTAATTACAAGTGTGCAATAAGCCAGACATAGACATTGACAAATTTGGGTAGAAATTCATCTAAAATAATAATAGAAAATAGGTTTTGGAAGATCTTGAGACTCTCCTGCTCTTTAACGCTACATCTATGATGTCATTTTGTCTACTTTGGGGTACATATTATTCTCTTCCCAGGTAATTGAAGCTACTGAATAACTGTCATTTGGAATAAAAAATAAAGGCCTAAAATGGTACACTGAAATAGTAATAACAGCTAATAATTTAGAGCACATATAATTCTAACTGAACCATATGATGACTGCATAGGAGGCAAACATCTCTAACCAAAGTAAGCCTCAGGAGAACCATAAAGGAACTGGCTGCAGAGCTAAAATAAAAATTCAAGAACTACTGATATGAGAGTCTCTGTGTGGTCCAAACAGAGAACATTGGTCTAAAAGGATCACATCCTTTGGATATTTGTCAGTCACCAAAAGATGTTGGAATATGTCTTCAAAGACACTTAACTTTCTTTCCTCCACCAAAATGCTTTTTTTTTTTAAAAAAACAAGAATGAAAAATACATGCAAGTATATACAGAAATGGACTTTAATATTTAACTTCATTTCTGGGAGGTTTGGCAAAAATGTACCATCTTCACCCAGTGACTGCCCACCTGGCTTAGGCCTGGACTGTCATTACTAATAGCCACTTTGATCTGTTCAACACTTAACTTTAGAGAAGTGACAGTTATCTCACTTTGAGTCTCAACTAGACAATTCTGTGAGGTGGCATTACAATCCCCATGGTACAGAGGAAGACAGTTCAGGATGCTGTGAGAACCAGAACCCAAAATCTTCAAGTTACGTTATGCAACAGAGTACACTATCTCCTGCATGGAATGGATATGTGGATTGCCCTTTCCTTTTAAAAATCTTCCTCTGCCCTGTTCCAGAACACATATCTCTGTCTGGACTGAGATAGAGAACCACTGTAGTTCAAATTAACAACAGAAGATGCCTCTAATATCCTGAGCATGTTCTTAACAGGTACCTAAGAAGTGATGCCTAGCACTCAGGGCCCTCAGTGTCCTGGCTTCATTCTCCCAACCCAGAATAGCCACCATATCCCAATACCCCAGTCTCTTTCAGACGGAACCATCTTCATTCCAGGTTAGGGCACTGGCCTGTAGCTTCTGCGCAACACATGCACGAATTATAAGCTTGCCTCCTTCCTGAAGCTTTACTCAGTGACACCCACCACTTGCCGTCCTTCTTCCTGGAGCTCTGTGTTCCCACTGTCATGCCCCACATGGCTGCTTTCTCATTATTCAGCAGTCAGCTCTGAGATTTCCTTTTCAAAGGGATTTTCTCTGGCCACACTCCCTAAAATAGTTCCCACCTTCCACACTAGGGGTTCTCCATGATAACCTGTTTCCCACCCCCTGCCATCTTCAACATCCTCATTGCTGCTGGACCTCATCCTCATCTTGGAGCCCACATCAGCAACTAGTAGACAGCAGCACAATGAATCCTTACAGAATAAAGTAACTCCTTGATCATTACACTTTCTCCTAAAGAACATCTAGATTGTTTTCAAAAAATGAATACAGTAAGAAACAATGAATTTTATTTTTCCTAATAAAAGAACAGCAGTGAAATTTAAGTCTCCTTCCCATACTGGTTGCTTAGCCTCTCTGCTCAGAAATAAGAACTGTTGCCAGTTTTATACTGTATATGCATCCTTCCAGAGTTACTCCATCTATATACGGTGTATGTCTGTCCATTTTCTTCTTATAGACAATAAATAAAGCATAATATATATTCTGGCTCTTTTTAAATTTTTCTCTTATCAAACTAATTTCTACATCATTACATGTAATGCTACTTCATTCATTAATGGCTGCATAATATTCCATTATATGGACATATGATATTTTATCAGGGTCATATTACTGGACATTTATAATCCAATTTTTTGATACAATATATACTGATAGAGTAAATGTGCCTACAATATATCATGCCTTAAACAAAATTTTTAAAATATGTTTTTCCAAAAAATCTGTATTTTGTTCCTCCTACACTTCCTTTCTCTTGCCCACAGTTTTGATGCTAGGTACACATGGGGTTCACAACTAGATGCAATATAAAAGAATCACTTCAAAGACATATTGGATGACCCTGTCTGTCCTACCCCAGCCTCCTCTGGGGCCTTTCCCATTTCTAGACATTAGCCAGCCTGTGCAGAAAGCCTGCTTCTGATAAAATAAAGGCAGGCCTCCTGGAGAGCCAGCAGCTGTTCAGAAGCACAAAATAACTTTCTATGAAAGCTTCAGCAGAAAATGAAGGTGACTTCCGTATTGCAAAATTGTAGGAGAAACTTAACAAAGCAAAGTAATTAACTAGAAGGCAGGGTATTAGTACTTTACCTTCTGATGGTATGTAAGACATGAAAGGGACCTCCTTAATGGTCAACAGAAAACCTCTCTTGACATCTCCACAGCAGAGTCCCAGAGAAACAAGCTCACTTCAGTGCCTCTTTACTGTGTACCTATCAGGCACCAGGTTCTTGGGATATGCAACTCTCACATAATCTGGTCCCTAACTTTCAGCAACTCACATTCAGTAGTGGAAGGTGGAGAGAACGGGACAGTCTGTTGCCATGATCACAATGAATACCTTCAGAGTACCAAGCAACTGAAAGGCTTACAGACCCCAAATGAGGTAGAGAGAATGACAATGCGTCTAAGCAGACGTCTCCTTTTTTTCTAGGACAGTCTCATGGAACAATTAACCATAGAAAGCTAAAGATTCAATTATGACTCTGGAAAGATGACAAAGTAGAAACTATAAACACCAATTTTTCAGAGGCCTAGAAGGTTTTGAGAGGGGAGATGGGTGTGAGATGTCAAAAGGAGCCCAGTTTCCACTTATTCTCAGAATAAAACAATGGTTTTAACATTCACTTAATTTCACAGGTTCTTGCGGCTTTCCCTAGGCTCTTCAGATTGCATGAGTTTGTGCTGAAATGGTAGAAAGTGACAGGAGGCTAACCTAGCAGTCAGAGAGCAGGTGCCACTGAGGCTTACTGGTCATGCATGTCACATGGTCCAACATCTTCAAGAGGAGACTGCTGCTTCTGTCATAAAGATGCTAGGAAAAATTCTTTTCTGTGCCATTCATTAGAAGTAGAAGGGGACTCAGAAATAGTCACCTCCAATCTCTCTGTCTTACAGATGGAGTTTTCTGAGTCACAGAATTATGAAGAGACTTGTCAAAGATCTCACTGTTCAGTGTGCCTAGACTTCCCAACTTTCAATATGGGAGGTTATTTGCCTTCCCACACTATCTGTTTCTTGAGAGCTAGACATTCCATGACCACGTGTCTTTTCAAACTATAGTAAAGCTTGAAATGTTTGCATGAAATGGAACATTTAATACTGGGAGATTTGATACTCCAGAAATGAAACATAGGTGACCACTGATAGGACAATTATGGAAGGGAGACTTGAAAACTCAGCTTTACCAGTAGCTTGGGAACTAGTCTTCAGTTTTAGAGAAATGTGTGACTGTTCTTACCAAGGCAGGAGGGAGGTATACACACTTTCATTCTCTGAGTGTCATCCCTTTCCATAAAGAAATGTAATGGCAAAACTATCCTTCTACAGAACAGTATCTGCCACCACTGGTGACAATACATGTACACAATAAATAATTTTTTACTTTAAAAACTCAAATAATGCCAGGTGCTGGTGGCTCACGCCCGTAATCCTAGCAACTCAGGAGGCAGACATCAGAAGGATCATGGTTTGAAGTCAGCCTGGGCAAACAGTTCATGAGACCCTATCTCAAAAAAACCCATCACAAAAAAAAGGGCTGGTGAAGTAGCTCAAGGTATAGTCCCTGAGTGCAAGCCCAGTACTGTAAGAAAAAAAAAAACCCTCAAATTAGATAAAAACTTACTCACTGATTTTTTTTCTCCCCCCTGCCTTTTCTAGCATATTCCAGGTGATGTATCTCAAACCTGGAAACTCA